AAACCTGAAATTCCCTTTCTTAAAGGAGGAGCTGGTGAAGACCAGGGCCTTCAGAGAGGGTTGCAACTGTCTGATTTAGCAAGAAGCTCTTGCTGTTCCTGGGAACGGCTCTGTGGATCGCTTGGACATCTAAAAGATAAATCTCTGAAGTACTCAGCCACCTGATGTGATGCAGGGAATGTGAGTAGGGTTTTCTAAAACCTCAGTGGCAAGGTTTTTAGTGACAGAAACCGCAAACCTGTGGCTGGGGCTTGGACCCGTGCTGAACCTGTCGGACCCGCTGGATTTCGTGTGGTTGGGCAAAAGGTCTGGGTTGTCCAGACCTGAGGTGTGTGAGCAGAGAATTCCAGACCCCCTGAGTGTCTCTGATAAAACGCTCCCAGGCATTGCAATTAACGCCTTTACCTTAACGATTCCTGCCTTCTCAGCAGAGCCCTGCCTTTGCAGACCTTGGTGGGCTCCACAAAGGAGGGAAGTACTGTCATCAGCTGCAGCTCCGCCGTTTGCTTTGGGAAGTTGGAGCTTCCTTCCGCTCATTTAAAGCCCCTGCGTGCTGCTGGGTGACCCTCTGACGTGGGATGGATGGACGGACGCCGAGCCAAGCGCTCCCGGCAGGGCTGTACGCTGCGCGATGAGGGGTCTGCTGGCTCATTAAACGGGCTTTAACGAACCTCCCTGCCATGCTGCCAGGGAGGGCTCAGCCTGTGTCTCTGGGCTAGGACAGGGCTTCAGGGGGTCATCGCTGCTGTCGGGAGTTCGCCTCGGAGGACGCGAGGATCTGGGCTTTCCTGTGATTTCTCTTCCCTCCTCCAGACTGGGGGATGCTGCTCGATCCTTGTCTCCTCCTCCAGCCTCGCGTTATTATCTTGGACTCATCAGCTGCCTGATGGGGGTTTTAGCCCCACTTCTGGATTTTTATTATTGTTTTTTCCTTTTCCACTTCTTTCTCTTTCAGAGAATGTGTAACGGAGGAAGCGAGCCTGGCGGTCCTTGGCAGGAGTTCAGGGGTCAGCAAAACTTTCCTAGGATAAAAGAGGACGAGCTCCTGCAGCGCTGGGCTTGGCCCGTGCAGGGCTGCTTGGTGGGGTGACAGCAGCCCCGGGGGCCACACGATGCTGCTGCCCTCGCACGGGCTCCTCCGGCGAGCAGGGAAGGCACAGACACGGCTGTATCCTACACACCTTCGCTGTTGTGTCACTGAGCGTTTCTTCTGCATCACTGACTAATTTGGATTTCATCATTTGACCCCGTGCGCTCGGTCTCGCTCTTCCCACGTCCTCTTAACGTCTGCCACCTCGGAGGTGTCTGCCTCCAGTCCTCGTCTTGGTTCAGTAGTTTGTGTTTGGTGTGAAATCCAGGAGCTCTGGTTAACGTTTGTGCCAGCTCTGGCTTGAGGGCTGCTGAAAGCCGTTCATCTGCCTCTGGGGCTGAGGCTTGGGACTGCAGTACATCTACTGTGTTACTCCAGGACCTCTCCTTGTTAAATTTTTAATTCCCCTTTTAAATTGTTTTTACAATTTTATGTGTATTCCAGCTTCCAGTTCATGAGCTTAGTGTTGTTATCTGAGATACCTCTTCCCTTTGAGAGCCCATAGATCGCGATGGGAGGTTCCTGCAAGGTAACTGGGAGCTCTTTATCTGCCTGACCGGTGTGAGAGCAATGATGAGCAAAGGTGTGAGCATGAGCAGGACTGGAGAGGGGCTCGGCAGCCCACCCCGGCACGCTGTGGTGCTGAGCTTGCTGCCAGACAGCCTCCCAGCGATGCTGCCCTGGCTTTGTGTTGTGCTTCTGTGGGGCAAGGTGGAAGCTCCCAGTGAGCTCATGTGGGAGGTCTGCAGCCCCTCCAAGCGGCTCTGGCTGATGCTTCTCGCTGGGGAGCACCTTTGCTTGCTGCAGCTCCAGGTTAGCTTTCCCCCAGTCCTCCCCGTGATGAGCTATGGGTGGTGTTTGCTGAAATAAATGGTTGCTCTGCCTCAGGTACTCCCCTAGGGCTAATCCTTGCTTGTGGGTGGATGTGAGGAGAAGGAGAAGCTGTGGGGAGGTCAGCGCTCATCAGCGTTTCGGGCTCATTAATCACTCTTGCTAAGTGGAATTTGCAGAGCCCGTGAGTGCTCTGATAGCAACGTCTTTGAAATGGGGGGGAAATAATAGCACTAAATTGTTTGAGAAATAATTTTGTTCTCCACTTCTCGGTAGATAAATCTGCTGTCCAACAACCCGAAATTTAATCTGTCCATCTAAAGTAATTGATGAGCTGCGACTTGAATCCAAATGTGGGTGGGAAGGGAAATTTTCTGCAGAGAGGTTTTGTATCGTTTCTGCGGCTGCTCCTTCCCACCAGAGGCAACGGGGTGAAGTGTGAGACGGAACAAAGCCATGAAGGCATCGGTGCTGCTGGTTGTTCTGTTGTGCTTTTGACTTTTATTACTGTTCCTGAGATTCTGGTAAAGGCCTGGATGAGGAGGTGAGCTTGGTCAGGCGGAGCCATTTGGGGAGATTAGGTGAAGGTTATGGTTTGACGTGTGCAGTGTTAAATCACGGAATCACAGAATGGTAGGGATTGGAAGGGACCTCTGTGGGTCACCCAGTCCAACCCTCCTGCCGAAGCAGAGTCACCTGCAGTAGCTTGTAGAGGACCTTGTCCCTGCGGGGGCTGT